GGCTTTCCAGAAATCCTGTGCTCCTGCAGAAGGCGTGCTCGCTGGTCCGAGGGGAAGGGCGAGGCTTCGGTCCTGGCCTTGTTTCCACTGCCGGGATTCGCCGGGATGGACCAGAGCGTCTTCCTTCCCCATGTGACGTTTTTGCCAATGCAGGATAATTGCGATGTAATGTGACATTGCGCTAGTCACAAAGCAGCCCCAGCGCGGCAAGGTAGAATGCAGTGACTCGGCAGCAGCCCCCTGGTGTTCTCACGGCTGCAGCGGCGCCCGGAAGCCTTGTGATCCACGGCGGCCCTCGATGGGGAGGCAGGCAAGCGCGCCCGGCCCGTGTCCGTCCTGTCCTCCCTGTGCCCTGGTGGGACCCGGGCGGCCCCGGGAGGGGCAGGTACTTGGCAGGTGGGGCGCGGACACCGCTACAGCGCTGCGCTGGGCTGCTGGGACGTCACAGTCACGGGCTCAGCAGCCGGCCGGAGGCCTGCAGCCAGCCGCGGCCACGTGCTTCCACTGCTCCTGGGAGGCACCGTTCCCTGCAGCCCTTGTGGAACGGGGACGTGTTACCGGTCGCCTCCCGGGATCCGTCGCCGTGGACTTGCTGAGCAGCTTTCGTACTCATCCCCGGTCCCCTTTTCGGGGTGCTGGGCTGAGGCCGGGGTTCCAGTGTGCACTAGGCAGGCACCCCAGCCCTGAGACCTGCGAGGCACGCCCTCCGAGCCTGCCTTCGGCCCAGCGACCTGCAGTCAGGGCTGAGGCCCAGGCCCGGGGAGCCACGGCTCCAGGGCTCCCTGTGTGCGGTGCCTCCCCACAGCCGGCCTGCGGGAGCGGGGCGGGGGGCGCCGGCCTGGGCCAGCGGTGTGGGTCGCTCCCTCGCCTTGCTTGGGCAGGTGTAGGAGAGAGCGCCTTTAAGACTCAGGCGAGAAGTCTGTCCCTGACGTTCCTTCACCCGTAATTCTACGGGCCGTAAGGACACGTGGGAAGGACAGATGTCAGCGGGAAGGTGGCCCTGGGCACCTCTCGGCACAGCCACGCTCTGAGCCTGCCCGGGAGCCTGGCGGACGGCGCTGGAGAAGCCGTGGACCCGCTGTCGGCCAAGGCGTGGCGCCTCGAGACCTTTGACTCCTGATAAATGCGCTTGTCCTTGTGTCCTCTCCCTGTCGTCGTCGTGGTCTCCCCACCGTGGTCAGCAAGAGGCGCAAACACCTGAGTGCATGCTCAGAGCTTCGGGTAGCACCACAGCCTGCCCTCGCTCCGGGGCGGCCCTGCGAGGAGTCAGCGCCCCTACACGGACGGCCCAGCTCCTCCAGGCCGCTTGGGGAGGGCGGGGAGTGTCCCTGGGCACCTGCGCCGGCCGGAGAGCCGGCCATGGCGGCTCCGAGAGGGGCCCGCGTGGACCCACACCCCCCGCGGTGTGTTCGCCTTCACTAACAGCAGCATGTTTGAACGAAAAGGAACTCAAGCCCCGATGCCTCCTTCTGTGATGCCGAGCAGGCAGAGCTGTGGCTTTGCAGGTCAGGAGTGGGAAGGGTGCAGACCCAGCTCCGTCGTCCACTGAGGGTCGCCATGCGCGGTTACCTGCTCTCAGAAGCAGCCGGCGGGGGGTGGGGCGGGGCGGCCCAGTGTGAGTGCTGCGCCTCTTCACCTGGGTTCGCCTGCAGCACCTCTCGCACCAGGCCTCGCTTGCCTCGGTCGTCCTTTGCCGTCTGTCCGGGGGTCCGCGTCTGGCGAGTCTGGCAGGCTGCGGGGGAGGAGAATCGGGCGGCGCTCTGGGCAGGGAAGGGCAGCCCTGTGTCTCGGGCACAGTCGTATTGCGGGCTCAGAAGGCCAGGAGGACCTCCGTCTGGCCCTGGGCTCCTGAGGTGCCCCTGGGCAGCAGACTCGTGCACCCTCCTGTCCCTTCGTGTGGGTCACCCCATCACCGGGCCTGAGCGGGAGTCTTAGGAGCTGCCCTCCTGCCCCAGGCACAGATTCATCGTTTTAGAGGAAACAGAGGCGGCGGCGGCGAAGAGCGTGTCCAGCAGGGTCCACTAGCCCCTTCCTCCAGAGTGCAAGGAAAGAAACCAAGCCAGGGTATTTCACCTTGGGTCCTGGTCTCGGGGCGCAGTATAAATCCAGAAAGGGAAATGCTTTGGTTAGGCTGAAAGCTGAAAAATAGCATCATCGCACATGGAGCCCGGGTGACTTTGCTGTAGTCTGCTTTTATTTACACTCTCACTCCGTGCAGCCCGGCTGTCTTCAGCTGTGTCCCCCGCAGCCTGAGTTGTCATCCAAAGGAGGTCGCAGAGCGCATTTCTCAGACGACAGATCTGGGTCACAGCAGCGTCTGAACACGCACACGTCACGTGTGAGGGGCCTCGGGAGCTTCAGAGGGGAGTCCTGACCCACCTGGCTGCCCGGGACCCATGCTCCCGTCCTCCTGGCCACTGCACCTCGGGCTGACACCTCGAGGGCAGGGGCTCCCAACGCAGGCTGTGCGCTCCTGAGTCTCAGTACCTGCAGAGGCAGGCAGTGCCCTCCAGCGCCCGGCTCCCAGGTGCCACCCTCAGGAAGCCCCACCAAGGAGCGCCTAGCAGCGCGGTCCATCTGTCACCCCAAACCTTTGCGCCCAGAGGTGCACGTGAGTGATGCCTGACTGTCCTTCCAAGCCTTGGGTCCCACATCACACCCGGCTGCCTTGGCCAGCTGGCTCCCGTCACTGCCCGTAGAAGCGGAGGGAGAGATCGGCACACGGGAGCACCAGCATAGGAGTCACCTTGGCTGGGTCCTGGCTGGAGTAAGGAGAGCGGAGGCCCGTGCCGAGCAGGTGCCCGCCCCTCCTCTGAGCGAGCCCATCCCCGAGTCGCAGGCCCCGCTCGCCTTCCTGCGCAAGCGTGCCATCTCTGCCTCTCCAGGCTGGGTGACTGAGTGTCCACCGTAAGGGCAGGGTTGTGCACGGTACTCCCTCACAGCTCCTCGCATATTCTCAGTGTGTGTGACCCCCCACTTCCTCAAAAGCCCCGCCGCCATCTGGCCTCACGTGGGAGATCCCGACCCACGTACACACCGCGCACACACGCCTCTGCAGGGACTGCACGCTGCACAGAAGCTTCCGGCCCGGTGTGCACCTGGCGATTTCCCTGTGTTCATCACGGTGATGACAAGATCTTGATCATGAAAACTCAGACACCACACAGGATCTGCTTCCTCGAGGACAGCAGTCAGGGGCCACACCCCAAACCTCCACGCCTCTGCTTGAGAGCCATGCTTGCTTCCCAAGTCCCAGCTGTCATGCTTTCCTTTCGCCTGACATCCTTTCTGGGACAAACTAGAGAGTAAAGAAAGGAAAGACTTAAAACAAAGAGCTATTTTTAGCACTTAGCAGACGTGCAGGTGCCGGGATGGAGAGTTCTGCAGGGAGGTCACAGCGCGCGTGTCACGGTGTTGCCTGACCTGCTGGCCCTGCTGACGTCTTCGCTGACCGTGTGCCTCTGTGACAGCCCTTTCCTCCCATATATATGTGCATGAAAAGGTAAGTCTAGGCAAACCAAAATCAGGGAAGATTTTCATAAATTATTTTAAATGCATTAAAATATTTTGATCATTTGCACACAGCTTGTGTTTACATGACAATAAATAAGCCTTTCATAGAAGAGACACTGGCTGGAACATATGTTTGTGGACCACAATATTTTGACACACACAAATACAAATGGCTCTGGCCTTTCTCTATCTTTTTTCCTTCCTTTTCCCTAATGAAGGGGCTGCCGGGGGAAGGGTCTTGGCCGGGTATCTCTGGGTCAGCTCCCCGAGGGCCGTGGAGAGCGCAGCTGGGCCCCTCAGCCCGCGCTGCAGTGCCTCCCCGAGCAGCTCTGCGCACCCTTGCGACCATGGGGTGGGGTCTCCAGGGCCCTGGGGTTGGGGAACCTGCGCACGCCCGAGGCCATCCCTGGAGTGGGCTGGGGCCTGTGCGTCACCTGCACACCACCCCACACACTTACGCCGCGCCTGCACCACCTGCTGCACGCTCAGGGTGTGGGTGTGTGTGTGCCACGCCAGCTGAGGGTGAGGACAGGCAGAGTCTGTGTGCACTCCGTGCAGACCCGGCTCTTCCCCAGGCATTTTCAGCTGAATCCACAGATGGGACATTCACCAGTAAAGAAAGCCAACCATTCCTTCCTTTAAATTTGGACTTCATGAAACCAGTTGTAAGCTCGGAGCGTGGGTAGTTAGAGGAGTCTGGGGCTGTCTGCAAACACAGACAGTTCTTGTGAAGTGCGCCTGATTCTCGCTCATTATGGTACTGGCTATAACTGTGGTCAGCAAGTGGGTCTGTGTCCATCAGCCGGGACCTGGGGAGGTCAGCTGGGTGGGGATTCAGAGCCACACGAGGCTGGACACGAGCCAGCACCATGCGCAGGAACACACCCATCCAGACCTGTGGCGGAGGCCGCAGCCGAGCTGCCTGCGCATGCGGAGAGCACGGCCCTCTGTGATCGCTGCCCTTCTCTCGGCCTGTTCACGTTTCTGAAAACTTTCAATGCCTAGGAAAAGTGCAGCCTTGAAACAGATCATCAGGTCAGTGACAGACAGGGAAGTGAGTGTTTGTGGGGTCCATAATTCCTGAAAAGCTACATTTGATTCAAAAAGCATTTTGGAGCCCTGGCAAAAACAAAATGGTGCCAGGGTAGGGGCAGAGGCTGCTATTACTCATGTGGTGTTTTCAGTCTGTACCTTCCCATGTTCTCCTCTCTACCGAAATAAAAAATGTCAGCACGTTCGGTTTGGCCTCCACAGCGTTCCGCTACGATTCTTGATCCAGTTTCTGCACTGCCTGTAAATTGTGAAAATCCACCAAGAACAGGGCCTGATTATCTGGGGCTCCAGCCTGAGGAATTGTCTTTAGCAGGGATTCGATATGCAAGACTAAATGCTGATCAGCAGAGCATAATATTGTCTTCTGAAATATGCTGGCAAGAGCAACACTAATTTTTCCTTCTTTCTCTCCTTCTCTGAAACCTCCCGCACAGCGCCTGCACTTGCCTCCAGACCTGTCAGACACGGTGAGCAGAGAGAGCAAACAGGATGTGGCAGTGCCCGCCCCGCGGCCCGGCCGGGGCTGCAGCGGGCTGGCCGAGGGCGAGAAGCACCTGGACTTCTAGGGCCCCTCCCGGCCGCTCCCGCACTGGCGGGCTGCTGACGGCTTATGTAAATACTGCTCCTACTGACGCGGGGAACGCTGCGAGGGTTACCAAATGTCTCCGCTGGCTCAGCCGGCTTTCTACACAGAAACAGGGCGGCAGAGACACTTGCATTTTGGAATTTGCCTTTTGCTGTGTTTAAAGAAAATCAGTGATTTATTTTTCAATAGAGACAAAAAAAGGGTGAAAAAAAATCGAGCTGCCTTTCGGTGGTCATTACTGTTTGTGTGCCAGGCTGCTCAGAGTCAAAGTGGAGCGCGTGTGCCGGGGGTAAATAAACATCATGAAATCTGTGTGTGAGAGCATTTCCTCTTTATTTCTGAAAAAGTCACTTGTCACCAGAAATGCTGATTTTTTAAAGGAAATTCTGTTGCTGACATATGGAATACATGTGCATTTGTGTATCCCATTATTAAAATGATGAAGACAAAATAATATTTGGGATTTGAACTCTATCACTGGTCTGGCAGAGCAAGTAATAAATAGAAAGAACTCGAGTGATAGCACAGGAAAACAAGGGTGCTCTTCTGTCCAGGAGTCCTAAGCCTTGAAGTCCACACCAGGAACCTGTGTCAGCAGACACAACGCGGGATTGAAATTCACACTGACACCTTGTTCATGCCGGGCCCAGGGGGAGGGAGATACAGGAGGGGCTTGGAGCGAGGTTCACAGAATACAGGTCTAAGACAAAGCGGAGAAATGAAACCAACTCAGATCGCCACTTCGTCACGTAAAGCCTTTGTTAATGATGAACATCGGTGAGTATGTAAATTTCTGAGCATATGAACCTGTCTCTTGGGGGGTGTAGCCTATTGAACCAGCTTTCATACAAAACGTGGGGTGTTGAAATCCCAGTTCCATTTTCTCAAAGCCTTCTACAAATAATGGACAAAAAGTGAAAGTGAAAAAGTAACTTGCATATTTCAGTCAAGCATCTCAATCTTTTAAAACATATTTAACCTCCATGGGGAGAAACTGAATTTTCCAGAATGCATTTTCAAATGTATTTGAGTATTTTGAAGCAGTTATAACTAGCATTTTTAAGCGATTTGCTTTTAATATACCACAAATTATACTTTATTTGCTCTTGACAACATTGTAGAAAACAAAGACTAGGTTTTTAAAACTGTCTAACCAGTATGATGAATGTCAGTCATTTACAAAAAAAAGCCCACTGTAGCATAAACATGCTGTATACAGCTTTCACTCGCAATTGGAATAATTGAATCGATGACAGCGATTTGCCAGGGTGTCAAATCCCTCCATCACACCCTGTCACTACCAGTTTATTTTTTGTGATCAAAATCAAAAAGACAACTATTTTGTCACCCACTATTTCATTAGTACTAAAAAATCAGGTTTCTTTTTTTTTTTTTAGAATGTCTGGTTTATTTTTTTCATCTCTTTTAATTCTAAAGACACAAATTCTTCTCCATTTTCTTTTCAAAATAAAGTTCCAGGATTGATCTGTCAGTTAAAATTAAAGGGCTTTTCTAGTAAGCAAAAGTGTTTTTAAGATGTAAAGCAACTTCAAAAATCAGTTCAGTCCCTAGATAATAAATAATGTTGTACGGGTTCCACAAAAGCTTCGCTGTGGCCTTTGAAAGCATTGGGAGCATCTGAATAAATCCAAATGAATATTTTAGTCGAGTTATTATTTTAATAACTCTAACCTTTTCCTTACCACGTTGTGGTTCGTTTTATGCAAACACACAACAGAACAATTACACAGCATTTGACTCTGCAAAGGAAATGCGAGGTCATCAGATATGTAAATTGCTTGTCAAAATACTTAATAGGTCATTGATTTACTTCCTCATACCATATCTATAAAATTAACAGCCAATTATGGTTGCTATATGCTGCACGAATGGTAGATACTATAAAAATCCAGTGTACCTGCTTGGAGCCTCGTGTGAGATCTGAAAGGAAACTTTCTGAACTCAGTAAAGTGCATCTTGAACAACAAAGGACGCTGGGCTTTCAGCACGTCGGCTTTGCTTTTCCCGACTGCAGCACATTCTGTAGAAGAGGAAGCTACTCATGCTGGAGAGCTCACGTTTGTGCTTTCCTCTGATAAAAGCCAGCTCTAAAAACGTTTCCCTCACTCCTGGAAACTTACTCAAAAAAATAATGGTCTTTAAAAAGGCTGCTGTGGGAGCTGGGATTTAGCTCTGCAGCACAGCGCCTGCCTGGCAAGCACAAGGTTGTGAGTTCGATTCCCGGTACCGGAAAAAAAAGACCAAAAAAAAAAGGCTGCTGTGTGTATGCATTCTCTTCTGCTATATTGCAAAATATATATTCTATTAACAGATTTTTCAGTCACCAGTTTGACTCAAAGATATAAATACTTAAGAGCAATCCCAGTGTAATGTCTTGAAATGTCCTCACATCTTTTAAATGTTTCCAGTAGAGGAACTTCAGGGCTCCTTGTGTTCATTTCTTACGCTAGAGCTGCCTTTCTTCCACGTGAGGTAAATATTTTGACTACCACAGTCTGCTCAGGTACTGGCCTCTGAGCCCTTCTGAATTCCTGTTTAGTGGCCAACAGCTAACACCCAGTCCTCTCACCCTCCGCTCCATTATTCTTTCTCCCCACCTCCAGGATCTCCAAGCACTAACCCAAGACATAAAAATCCTTCACCGGAAGACACTCCAGTCAGTTCTGGGCCACCTTTTGACATTCATGATTGAGACACACATGCAGGCGCGCGCGCGCGCACACACACACACACACACACACGGGGGGGGGGGCTTGCTCGCTTGTCCCACCCCATCAGGAGCGTCACCCTGAGATGCCACGCGCCTGCCTTGCAGAGAGAGTCCCTGAGGCAGCATGGAGACTGGGCCGCACTGACTCCGCCGTTAGGCTGGGAGCTGAAATGCAATCTGGCCGTTCGCGAAGGAGCAAAAACAAAAAGAGGTGTGCTGCTGAGAAACAGGTATATGTCTGGCCCTACTGAGGCAAATACAGCGACCAAAAATCGCTGTGTTTGGCTTTTTGTCTTTCTAAACTTAAGATGCAGAGCACAAAGAGGTGAGCAGGTGCTGGACACGCTGCTCAATGACACGTTCACAGCCAGCGCCGAGCTGCACCAGCGCGGCCCCGGTCGTGGCGGGAGCAGGGAGAGAAGGCACGGGAGCCCGCGTGTTTGTGTGTCTTAGACAGGAGGTGACGCTCTGCAGGAAACGCATTCTGGGGACGTCATCCCACTACACGGCGCTTTCCACCTAGCATGAATCCGCTCTCATCTGTCCTCCTGGCTTCCCTAAGTCAGTCAAATTTGGAGAAAAGCCGGGCTGCTGGTCCAGTGTTTCCACTGAGGCCTTCGTCCTGGAGACCAGCATCAAACTGTCCCTGCAGCTGTTCCACTGGTAAATACATAAATGCACCTATCAGCAAATAAATCAACAAAAATAAGTCATCACATCAGCGGGTGAGGGGCCAACTGCCAGACATAGCCACCTGAGTGTTGGTCTGCTGTCCCAGAGTCCTGGGCAGTTCAGAGGGACATTGCCCATCCTGGGGTACAGCTGTAGGGAGGCAGCGTCCCCACCCTGCTGGGTCAGGGCTCCTGCAGTGGGGTGGCCGCTCCCAGCCACCCCTGAGGACCTGCATGCGTCCTGGTGCACAAACAGCCACTGCCCACCAGGCCCAGCCTTGTGCCCAGGCTGGGGCCAGACCCCGCCCCACGTCACAGCACTTGGAAACTGTGCCTCCTTTCCGGGAAGATGCCGCCACTCCCGAGTCTCTGAGAGTCCCCTGGGTACTGCCTGAGGGAGCAGGGGCTGCAGGGTGTCAGGAGCAGAGCCATTTGCACGGGCCAGTGCCCCAGCAGGGCGTGTGCCCACATGCCACACACACACACGCACACACGCTGCCAACACAGGAGGCGCCTCTGCATGGGAAACGTCTGCAGAAGGACAGCGCCAGCGTACAGCAGGCTGGGGAACCGGACCCCAGAAGCTGCTCACAGCGTCTCCTGAACTGCAGGGCGGCAGGTGCCGGGCTAGGTTGGGTTCCAGTCCTCCAAGTAATTTCTGCGTTTTGATCACCTGCCCTCAGGGATTAAAGAAAAGAGCAGAACAGACTGCAGTTGGGAGGAAGGCGTCTCCTCCCCAGGGGCCTGCGAGTGCAGGCGTCCCGCCCTTGCCGAGTTCGCAGAGGGAAGCTTCTGTTGGTTACGCCTCGCGGAGTGGACAGGCCCTCGACACCAGCCACGCCTGTCTTGCTCCGGGCTTGGCTCCGCGCGAGCTCTCCTGCCCTGTGTGCGGCCGCTGTCACTGCAGTCACAGCTGCTTTCCAGGTCCGGCCTGGGCTGCAGGTGCAGGTGCCAGTGCCGGTGCCGGTGCCAGTGCCGGTGCCAGTGCCGGTGCGCAGGCCTTCGCTGCTCGCGGACCCGTACCGTGTCCATGTGTCCCGCCCATTGTGCCTCAGCACGCTGCGTCCCCACCCTCCACCGGCCACGGCGGCATGGAAGCCAGGCCCACGGCAGCAGCTGTGGCAGCTTGGTGGGGACAGTGGCCCTCGTGAGGGCGGGCACAGGCCAGGGAGCAGGCGCGGAGGAGGGCGACCGCTCCCAGGCTCTGGTCGCGGAAGCCCTTGTGGAAACAGGCGAGGGGGCAGTCTGCCCGCCTGCAACGCGCTGGCCCTGCCTCGAAAGCAGGTCCTCAGGCTGCGCCCGCGAGGAAGGCCGTGGAGACAGCCCGGACCGGCCGCCGGCCGCCTGCCGCCTGTGCACCGTGGCTGAGCTGCATACGGGGCGCACGGGCGCAGCCACACAGCCCCAGGGGAGTGTTTTCTACTTTGTGCTGTCTGGGAGAACTATTTCTTTAAGGACCCTCAGGATGTAAAACAGAGTATGTCTGGAAGGAACCATTGGCTTAGAATGTTCATCTCACATGGAAACAAAATTTGTAACACCACGCTATAAGGTTAAAAAGAAAATGGTATAATAAAGGAAATACAAAGGCTTTGGCATGGTTTTTACAATCAACAATGGTTAATTCTGATATGTAGTTGTGAACAACTTCAAAACACTTAAGTTTAAAACTCTTGCAAGCACTTTTAATTGATTAGGAATGAATTCTAGATGCACAAAATGGTTGGACTGTGAACAGTAATACAACTAGATCTACGAACAATTAACTTTTGCTGGCCAAAAAAGAAACGTATGATTGCATGAAAATGTGTATAAAACATCTATAGAGTATTCTTGTCAAATATAAATGAAATTAACTTTATTATAGAAATCATTCTGAGGATTTCTAGGGAAGACAAATACTTACATTTTGACATAAAACAAATTGGATTATATCGAAGACACACTCTACCTTTTAGCTATCAACTTTTTTCTTCCTTGAATTTATATCTTACCCTTTTTTTGCACATAAACTTCATCTGTTAACAACCTTTGGAAAACCAACATATTTCTTACATAAATGTAGTGCATGTCGTTCCAGGTTTAATTATACGCAAAGGAAGGATACAAATGTGGAGCATCGGTCCATAAACTGTGAACAGATGGGTAGAAGGACTCGATATAGCCGGATAAAACTCTTAAATTCATGGCAAATCTCGTTGATCGTGGTTTCCTTTTTCTTTTTCTTTTTCTTTTTTTTTTTTTTCCTTTAAACAACCTCATGACCAATCCGGGTCAAACCCTCGTCCAGTCTACATTGTTCTTTTGTTTTTCATTATAACATACAAATGCCCATTTACAAATAATACACCAAAATGAATAAAGGTTTGGATACCAAAATGAAGATTTGTTCCAACTGAGATCGCGCCTTCGTGTGCAGAGGTCTCGTGTGCGGCCCGGGCCGACCCAGGCCCGCGCGGGGAAGTGCTTCAACGCCTTTCCGTCCTGCTTGTACCTTTCCCGAGCGCCCCGTGTGGCCACAAAAGTCACTGGCTGAATAACTCAATTTCCTTTGCTTTCTTTACTGTAGTCTTGGCCAGTACTGAGACATGTCAGGTTCACTTCCAGGAACCTGGACTGGAACCGACACGCCGGGAGAAATGAGACCTAGAGACATGGCGGAAAAAAACAAGGGACACTCACGGAGGATGAATTTGTAGGCTTTGAAAAATCTCCAATACTTTCTAACATGGTTTACTGTATTTCTAAAAATACCACAACTCTTCCAAGCTGGGCGTGGAGGCACACACCTGTCATCCCAGCACTTGGGAGGCTGAGACAGGAGGACTGCCATTGAGTTAGAGGCCAGTCTGGGCTGAACGGTGAGTTCAAGATCGGCCTGGGCTAATAGCAAGACTCCGTCTCAAATAAAATAGAATAAAAGAAAAATACTGCAGGGGGCTGGGGATTTAGCTCAGCGGCAAAGCACCTGCCTGGCAAGCGCAAGGTCGTGAGTTCGGTTCCCGGTACCGGAAAAAAAAAAAAAAAAAAAAAAGAAAAATACTGCAGTATCTTTCAAACAGCAGCACCATGAGAAACTAGACAACATGTAGTACAGACGGAGCTAGAGTCCCAACCCCCAGCCCACAGAAAAGGAAAAGGCCTCTGTGTGATGTATGTGGGTGGTGCCCGGAAGACAGCGTGGAGCCGCCTGCCTGCGTGGCAGGGAAGGGCACCCGGGAGCCCGATGAAGCAGCTGTCTCCACAGCCTCAGCCGAGCCTTGGCCTCCGGCTTGTCTTCACGCGCAACTTTAGTCACCACGTTCAGTTTTTGTTTTTATTTTCAGAACCGGGAATCGAACTCACAACCTCGCACTTGCCAGGCGGGTGCTGTGCCGCTGAGCTAAATCCCCAGCCCCAGTCACCACGTTCAGGAAAAACGCCTTTCAGTGCACGTGGGCTCAAGTGACCAACGGATGTGACTCAGTCTCCCCAGTCGGTCAGTGTTGCCCAGAGACAAGGGAGCAGAGTCCACACCCCCTCGAGAGAGGCTCCGAGTCAGCCTGGAGCTGGACTGGCCAAAGCCGTGCAAAGGCCGGCAGCACGCAGCCGAGGGCGCCCGCGCTCACCTGTGGACGTGGCGCCCGACGCGCCCATGGGCTGGCTGTTCATGTGGGTCTGCATGTGCGGGGGCGTGTAGGTGTCGTAACTCCGCCCGTTCACCGAGGGGCTGGTGGGCAGCATACAGGAGTACGAGGAGGTCTGGCTGGGGACGGGGGGCTGCAGGAGACGGGAGACCTGGGTCACCGAGGAGCACGACCCCGCCGCCCTGGCGCTCCGCCCTGAGCTGCGCCAAGAGCTTCGCACTGAGGTCAGGCTCTGCTGGCCACAGCCAGGCTCGAGTTGCCCACACATCCACTTCCAGAAGCTGGAGCCAGGCGTGGTGGTGCACGCCTGTCATCCCAGCGCTTGTGAGGCTGAGGCAGGAGGACTGCCATGAGCTCAAGGCCAGCCTGGGCTACAGAGTGAGACCCTGCTTCAAATCAAACCAGAACAGAACAACTCGGAAAGCTCCGTGCAGACACACGACGGCTGGCGCGGTCCACGGCTGGCCATTGTCCCCCGGCGGCGCCCTCAGACAGCCTGTGGCATGAAGACTCAGTTCCCACAGCCTGCCTGTCTCCTTGGGAACCCAGCTCTGGGGCACGGCGGGTGAGATGCCGGGGCCTGGGGAGCCTTCCCGCGGGAACGAGGGTGGGGCTCTTGGGAGACACAGTGACGTGTGCTGACCTCAGGTGACCATGGCCAGAGCAGCACGAACCAGAACCGCCGTTCCTGACGCAGAGCAGCCCTGGGGGCTTTTCCCTAACGCTGTGCTGCTCCCGAGAGCCCCTCCCGGCACTGAGAACTGCGAGAGCGAGGGGAGGCCCCTGGCGAGCTCTCGGGATGAATTAACAGAAGCGTTATGCTGGCCGCGAGGAGGGGATGGGGCCACTCTGCTCTGCGCACGGAGACCCCGTTCTCGGGGTGACCCTCCAAGAGGGCTCAGACAGCAGGACTTGGCTGGCTTGTGCGAAACGGCTGGGGATGCTGGCCAGCAGGATGGACGGACAGACAGACAGATGGACAGACCGACCGGCCCCACTCCAGAAGCCAAGTTCAGTCTTCTCCAAACAGTGGGCTCAGCAGCCATCATCCTCTGCTGTCCCGGTGCCCGGGCTGTCAAAGTTCTGTCCACCGAGTGACTCGGCAGGCCCCGAGAAACACGCTCAGCCACACGCCGGCAGTGCCCGCTCGAACCAGCTCTGAGCGGCACCCGGCTGCCTGACCCCGTTGTTTCCTCAAATACAGGACACATGCCTGATGCGGCACTGTGGCCTCGTCAGAGCAGAGGACGAGCGTCCAGTTCAGAGGCAGACAGGCCCCGCGGGCCTGCCACAGGTTCACTCGTGTCCGACGCCTAGACCTTCCGGGCAGCGGCAAGGCGGCCGCAGGAAGGGACTGCCAGCCCTTGCGTGCACATCGGCAGGCTGGCCACCCTCAGATGCACGAAGGCGAGCCCTGCCCAGTCCCCAGAAGCCCTTATCTCGCCTTTCTAGCCGAGTCTGAGGCCCTTGAGACGCTGCTCTGCTGTTCCCTGGATTTGAAAACCAGCAAACCTCTCGGGGTGGAGAACAAGCAAGCAACCTGCGCGACCTCCATGGCGGGGCAGCGCAGTCTCACGCCAGCCGCCTCTAACGGTGCCCCACGAGGAGACCGGAAAGCCGCCATCCGGCCACCAGCTGGAGTGGGGTTTTCGCTTCCACATCAGGAAAGCACCCAGCAAGCACTCTCGTTCACCGCCGACCCAGGCAACTCCCACTCCCAAGCCCGGCCTAGCGCACAGGAGCGGGCTGGGGCCAGTGACGCCTCAGGCAGCGTGAGCAGCGGCAGCCCCGCCGCTTAGGGCCAAGCCGCGCTGACTCCCGCGAGTATTTCTGGTCCTCCTTTGTAAGGGGCTGGGCTGGCCTTGGGGTCCTAACAGGTCAAACCGATCTCCATGGAGAGGAGCCGTCCTGCCTCTGCGGCCCGCGGCTGGCAGCACCCCACTCACCTGCATCGGCAGGTTGTTGGCCATGGTGAAGCTGGGCATGGGGGGCAGCGCGCTGTACGTGTTGGTGAGGGCTGTGTCTGTCCGGCCCAGCATGGAGCCGGACGCGAAGGAGGACACTGCGGAGAGACGTGGGGGGCGGGTGAGCGGCACCGCCGGGCAGGGCCGCGGGAGGGGGCGCGGGGCGCCGGTTACCGGGGGTGGTGGGCTGCGGGATGGGCTGGTAGACACTGGTGCTGAAGCTGCTGCTGATGGGGATGTGGCTGGGGGTGCTGCTGGCCTGCCTCCGCTGGTTCCTCAGCTTTTCCTCTCTTCTCCACTTGGCCCTTCTGTTAGAAAACCAGACCTGGAGGAGAGAGAGGGGAGGAGAGGGGAGGGCGCGGCTCAGCCCCGGGCCTGCCCCGGCAGCCTGGCTGCACCCCGGGGGCGCCGGCTTGCAGCGGAGGGGCCCGCCGCCCCCACCCAGGCCCGTACCTGTATCCTTGCTTCAGGCAGGTCTATTTTGGCCGCTAGTCTTTCCCGGGCAAACACATCAGGATAGTGGGTTCTCTCAAACTCTGCAAGAAGTCAACACCGCGTTGGTCTGAGGACATAACGGTGCGGGCCCAGCCCTGGACCCAGCCCACTGCCACACCCCACGTCTCCAGGCTCCTGCAGGCTGCATCTGTGGGCGAGCCTCCCCCACCAGCGCAGGTCAGACATCTTTGGAATGAGATCCAGTGACACTGCCATAAACAGATCGCCACTTCCCCTTTCTAAATCAAGCTCCTTGCCTTTCAATTAGTGGGACATGAAAAGAAGAAAGGAGGTGCACCTTGAAAAGATGCCCACAGGAAAATAAAAAGACAGAAAGAAAAGCAAGCTGTCTCAGTCTGTGTGGAGCCCAGGCTAGATCTAGCCTGTCCTGAGGAGTGGCGCCGGCCCCGACGCCCGCCGACCATCACCTTTCTCCAGGGCCTCGATCTGCTCCTGGGTGAAGGAGGTCCTGTTCCGCTGCAGCTTCCGCTTTAGCTGCAGCCGCATCTGCGCCTCGTCCGAGTCCTCCCCGTTGGAGCTGATGGAGTTGGTGTTCTCCCCCGCACCTTCCTGCTGCTGGCACCCATCTGGATGGGAGGGAGGGCCGTGAGAGGCCAGGAAGGACCCACAGCCAGCCCGGGGCCCGGACAGAGTGGCAGGGTCAAAGGCGTCCCCAGGGTAGCGAGGTGGCCGCTTCCTTCCTGGAAGGACGCCGGCAAGGCTGGGTACCTGGCTGCCACTCCTGTCCTCTGCGTTTACCAAGTTGAGGCTTCACTGTCCACAAAGACAAGTGGCGTTTCCCCAAGTGATGAGACAGTCGCTGAAGCCGAAGCAGCCCCGACTCCCAAATGTCTCCCCGCCCTGCCCCCCGGAACGGCTCTACCTATCGCTGTGCTGGGAAAATACAAGAGTGATGTGCACGATCTCAGCTGATCTATAATCAGTAATTCCCATCTAATCAATTAGATGTTGATAGGTTTGTAGAAAATGCTATTAAGAAACCAAACCAAGCTTGTAATCTTTAAAAAAAAATATTTATCTAGTTTTTATTTGAATTCTGCACAGTCAATTTCATTTTAAAGGTTGTGAATTTAGAAGTACTTGCATTGTTCTGCAGTTTTATTCAACTATTGTATGAGTGCGCGTCGCCTTGACACCTATTACGAGCACAGCTGTAATTATATCATCACCAAGAACAGGCTATAATTGCTGAAAATGGAATTTTATATTTAGATAAAAGGACTGTCCATTCTTTGTAATGTGTTGCACCAGAGAAAAGTAAGATTTCTTTTAAATTTTTAACGTGTAATTTTAAAAAAGAAATAGAGTTCACTAACTCACTCAATATGCTACGCTGCAGCTGAATCCTCGGCATCTGGCTTAAGTGGTACATTTTTAATTAGGGCATTTCTACTACTTTTAATGTAATTTCTATCATTACACAGGGGAAAGTTTTATTGTTTTCCTTTGCCGTTTGGAGGGCGACACGAGCGCTCGGGCTGCCTCTGTCTCCCACCTCGCCTGTCTGAGGGGAAGGACGCCGGGCCACGCAGGCCCGACTCTGGCTCCTGCGGCCCCCGAGGGACACCCCCGGGGGACGGCGGACAGGCAGCTGCCGGGGAGGGGTGGGCGGCCCGGTGGGAATCCACTTGGCCAGGAATATCATTTGTAACGGGGACACAATGGGCAGCGCCTTCAAAGAGCCCAGGGAATTGTGACAGGATCTAGTGGGATCCTTTCAGGAACTTTGAAATGTTGTAAAACCCCAACTTTCTCCCCCATTTAAACAGGCGGATTCATCGGCACTGGCCACCATATGGGCCCTCGGAGATCTATTGAGATGACCACCAAGACTTGAATGGCGCGGAGCCGCTTTTCAGGGAGCACAAAGCCCCGTGAGTAAGGGAAACTATTAAACTCCTGGGCAGGAGCGTTGGCAAACTTCCGTGGGCAGAATTTTGAGGCCACAATGAGCGCAGACAACAAAAGGATTCTCTTGAGGCGTGCAGCGGGCCACATTGTGTTACAAGAAGCCAGTCAACAGACTTTTCAGCGCAGTGTGTTAACCCCTCGGCTCTGCTATCATTAATCACTGTCCCGAGCAGGGCATGGGGCCTTCCCCATGCAGGATGCCGGCCGCTGGGGCTGGGGACAGGAGGGGACCGGCCCGGCTGGGGCGGGGGGGGCAGTGAGGGAGGAGGAGGGGGATGAAGGTTCAGGGGACCAGGGCCCACATAAAGATGGGGGCCTCCCTGCCCCACAGGGCGCCGGCAAGCAGAGGACGAAGGCTTGCGTGGGCTCCACAGTCAAGGGGTGCGGGTGCAGAGGGCCCAGAGGGTGACGGAGATGGAGGGAGAGAGACAGAGGCCAGCAAGGGGCTGAGGAAATGACAGGAAAGAGGAAGAGCTGGGGTCCCACACCTTCTCCCTGGGGCGCTGCTGGGCACAGTGTCTGTGCCCGGACTGCCCTGCCACTACTCCTCAGGGGGAGGACACGCAGAGCACCCCCACTCCACTTGGGTGTGGGCAGGAGGACCAGAAGGGCCTGGGCTGCAGCTGGAGAGCCCTGGCTTCCTGCCTTCCTGCCACTTTGAGCTGCAGACACAGCCGGGGCGCTGGGTCCCCGGGAACACCTTGCCCACAGCCTGGCCAGGCTGCCCGGTCTCCCGGGGCAGAGCAGCGACCGAGGTCCATGTGGGCACGTGCACGCGCGCACACGCACACACACGCACTCAGCACACCCTTCCACAGGCTCGCCACGTGTGCCTTGACATTCCAGGGGAAAATGTCAACAGGGAATGAGGAACTTGATTTTAAATCTTCTTTTTGAAACTGCAATTCAGGGCTAGCGAGGAGAAGCGGGGGCCAGAGGCCCCGGCTCGCAGGTCCGCACGCATCCGGGGGTCCCTGCATCTTGGAAAGTAGCAGCTGTCCCCAGCGCGCGGTGACAGTGCTCATTGAGACTAGGCACCCTCGGGCCCCCGTCAGGGGCCTTCCCCCCCTTCCGCCTTCTGACAGACTCGGGCTGGATGCCGCTCCCAGCCCTGCCAAGGCGAAGTGGGGGGCACCAACCCGCATCCACGCCTCGGGCCCTGCATGCCCAGCCCTGGGGATGGGATTTGTGTCCTGGAGGAGGAGGAGGAGAAAGAAAATCATTCCTTGGTTTCTTAGTGTCGCAATCAGTGAGGCGGAAACGGAGCAGAAAAAGATAGTGGCGGCACCTTCCCGGCTGGGCAGCTCTAACCCCAAGGCTCTGGGGATGGGGGAGGGGACCAACCGAACTCCCTACTGACCTGGTGACAAAGGAGGGGACCAAGTCCCCAGTGGTCTGGACACAAGGGCAGGGCAGTGTCTCCCTCCGGATCCCCAGCCCGGCCCGCAGGAGCTGGGCCTCAGGAGTCATCCCCTCAGCTGTCACCGTTTCTACCGCTGGGGCCTCAGGTGAGGAGGAACCTGTCCCCTCAGGTGTTGGAGTCCAAATCCCAGGATGCGGGGGGGGCCGGAGCGCACCGTGCCCATCCCCGCATCCCCACGTGTGCGGGGGGCACAGGTGATAAAAGTTAAGTGCCCAGAGCCCGCACCATCCCCAGGCCCCAGGTCACCACGGCCCCAGGATGCAACTGCCCAACCAGCGCCCCCTCTGGCGGGAAAAGAAGGGGTCTGCTTGCTGCGCCCAGGCCGGGCCCTGGCCCTGCGCCCTCCCCAGGACACCTGGGAGGGGACGCGGGACGAGTCTCCAGCGTCCCTGCAGTGGGCTGGTGCACAGGCTCGCTGCACTCCCGGACACCGCGGCCTCCTGGGCCACGAAGCCGCGCTGGGAAGCCAGAGGGAGCGTTGGGCTCCGATCTTCCCAGTGTCCGTCCTATATTGTTTCCTGCTCTTAAAACTGACATGTCTAATTGGCAATTGGTGCCGAATCGTGTCCAGAGGTCTCTTGTGGAACATTTCTACAGCTGTCTCCTTCAACTAGACGCTTATTCATGTCGCCTTAATGAGAAACAAAACGTTCTCTAATGAGCAATTACAGAGCGACAGGATTGTTCCCATAACAAATTCTTGCGAGTGACAGAAGCATCCTTTGTACCAGATATTCTGCATACTGTTGCTGATTTCCCCTTCCCTTGCTGGCCAGTGGGGTACAGGACACAGAGCTCAGGGGCCCGCGGGTGCCCAGCCGGCTGCCTGGCGCCCAGGAGGGAGACGCCCCACCATCGACCATCCACCGTCCGTCCTTATCCCGCACGTTATCTCCTTGTCTCACACAGCGCTCCTTGATCCATTTTCCGGCCCACTGCTTCCCGGCCGCACCCAGCCCCCCTACTGGGGAACGGTCCTCCCCGACTCTGCCCGGCCCACCACAGGGCCTGGGGCCCTCGGGGCTCACCTCCATGCTGGGACGGTGGCCACCCACAGAGGTGAGACAGGTCCCCAGGGGCAGGGGGACAGGAGCAGGTAAAGGACAGGGGCTGGTGGAGGCCACAGGCCCCACCTCCACTTCCCATGAGCACCTTCGCTGGCTGCAGCCCCTCACCCTTGCCTGCACCGACTGGAGTCCGGCCGGGTGCCAGGGCCGGCAAGAGCAGCGCGGCACTGTGCTGTTTACCAGGGGCTGTCAGTGCGCTCACTCGTCACACTGCTGTAGAGGGGCTCCGCGCTCGGGTGTCAGATGTGAGTGGCAGGCCATGCACTCGCTCTTACACACGCACACGTGCTTTACCCACAGCCACACGTGCAAACACACACCTGCCACCTTCGTGCCACCCCTGACGCACATGAGACCCTCACATACCCAGGCCCGCCACCTACATCCAACGCCACTTGCTACGCCCAGGCCTCTGATGCAGGCCGCCAGTCCCCCCCAGTACCCACACAGGAGGGGCTGGCTCGGTGCAGGCGGGCGGCTGCTTAGCTCTTACCCTGCGTGGGCTGCCCAGGCACAGAAGTCCCCGGATACCACCCCGGGCGGGTGCCCCAGCTTCCGGTCTGCCCGTTCAACATCCTTAGTTTATCATACATGCCGTCTGCGCCCATCTGCTGCTTCTCGCTAGCCAGGTTGCGAAGGACTCTGTTTATTGATGACACCTGCAGATCAACGAAAGTCAGACCACACGGCAGCGTCTCCCACAGCCGCAACCGCCCCACGCCCGCCTCGCTCCTCGCGCCCTAAACGGAGTGGCTCTCCACGAGAACGCTCCAGCCACCCTGGCACAGGAGTCCGTGTGCAGCTCCATCCACCACAGAGCGCAGCCACCACTGGGGCAGGGAGGCCGGGCTGGGAAGAGGTGGGGGCCGGGAGCCCCCCTCCCCCGCACCGCGGGGCCTGACTTAGAGCACACTCTGCCAGAGGTGAGACCTGGTGCAGGTCCCCTCCACCGTGCGGTTTATTTCAGAGGAGGGGTGCGGGCCCTCTGAGGCTCAGGCAGGTGCCCTGCAGCAGGGCGGATCTGCCTTTCATTTGCATCTTCCTCCTTGATCCCAGGGCTTCCCCCAGCCCACGAGCGCCAGGCGCCCACCCTGGGTTTGCTGGAAGGGAACAAGTCCTCCACGCTGAGCCCCACTTTCCAGGAGGCCAGCCAAGCTCAGGCCCCCTCTGTGGCCCCAGTATCACTGGACGGAGGAGGAGCACTCACACTTGGTATGTTGTCGTTGGTACAGACACCCTCGGACAGCAATCTGTCTCGGATTTCCCAGGCGAAGATGGACGGGCACTCCCGCTTGTACTGCGCTATTTTGCTCACAACTTCCGGAGTTGCTACCCGGGGCTTACTGCCACCGATGGCCCTGGGTCGGATGGAGCCGGTCTCGTAATACCTGCCCAGGATTTTACTCACACACCCGTTGGACACCTGCATAGGGGAAGTGGACAGAAAACCACATTATTAATAATTTCAAGACAAAAATAAAATTGTGTAAGTATGCATTAAACAATGACAAGCTTACGTTTTGATTGTCCAGCACTTGGACTTTTGCATCTGCATGGGTCTATAACACAAAAATATACCTTCAATGGTACGAGAGCTCACTGTAGTGCTTTTCTTTCTTAAAGCTACATTGGTAGCCCTAAAAGCTACAAATAGGGTGATACTTTCAAACATCTTGCACTTAAAAAAAGAATCTTGAAAAATTGAAAAAAAAACTCTTCCTAACCACTGCTAGAAGATGCATCAAAACGAAGTCAAATTAAAATTTTTTGTGCTGACCTTGCTCGGAGGGGTGTTATGTTCTAATGAGCAAAGGGGAAAAATAAATTGAATATTTACTTTTTTATTAAAAATATGCCCAATTGAGGAAAAGGGAGTCGGGTGCAGTGGACTGCCTCTCCCTTTTCGGATGGGCGTGTGTTCTACATCAGCGCGAAGGCCGGGGGCACATCTCTCTGGGGACCCCGAGGAGCCGGGCAGAGGGGCGGCGGCCGCCCGGGCCGTTCCCGGCCCTCAGCTCTGTGCGGTGCGCGAGCTGTTGAGCCGTGGGCATCCCCACCGCGTGGACTCGGGGAGGGTGTTGGTAATGCACACATCATTTTGTTCTGAAGCAGATGAATTCTCTTACGCAACTGACTCAGGTTGAAAGAGACAGGGAGGACAGCGGGAGAGAGGGGAAGCCGGAAGGCGGGGTGAGGTGGGGCCGGCATCGCAGCGTTTGCAGGAGGAAATGAAGAGAGGGCGCGGAGAGTGGAGCCGGCAGGGGCCGGGAGGATCACCTGCAGAATTCGGGAGATGTCGCACGGCCGCGCCCCGCTGTGCGCGAGTTCCACGATCTTCTGCCGGGTGGAGTCCGGCAGTGGCCGCCCGTTGACAAAGACACCACCGAGCTGGTTCACACCACTGTGACCTGCGGCAAGGGCCAGGAGAGGAGAGGAGGGCAGGAGGGAGAAAGAGGAGCAGGAGGAAGGGAAGGGAGGAAAGAGGAAGAGGAGGAGGAGGAAGGAGAAGAAAGAAAGAGAGAGAGAGACAACCAGGATGCACCCTCAGCTCCCTGCTAACCCATGCCAACCTCGCGACCAGGTCCTTGCTGCGGGGCAGGAAAACCACACAACAGGACCAGCAGCCAGGCAGGGCACGGGCAGCCCAGCCGCGCACGCCGCCCGCCCCTTCCCAACGACCAGGCCTCAGAGCCCACGTTTGCCAAGGAGCCCAGGAGGGGACACCAGGACCCACTTGTGCTGCCACCCTGGCGCCAGCGGGGAGCGGGGACAAGCCCTCCTGTCCTCCCAGAAACGCCGGGGCGTCCCCACGGGCTGTGACCTGCCGAGCCCACCAGCCCTGGCGCTCTGCAGCCCCGGCGCTCCACACCCTCAGCCTCGGGGCCAAATTCCAGCAGGCAGTGGCATCACCACCTAAACTCTGGCGAAGCGGCTCGGCGCTGCCCAGGCTGGCTCGTTTTTGTTCTTTCACAGAAGGGAAGGGAAAGGAACTGAAAACCAGAGAGCCCCAGCGGGAGACCCCGTGCCCTCGAGGCCGCCTGACGAGCGCAGGCTGGGATCGCCCGAGCAGAGAGGTCCCTGCCCCGGGTCCCCAGTCACCACTGTCGCTGCTTCCACGGCTGCAGCCCGCCCCGCCCTTGGTAAGGACAGACACAGCCCAAATCCAAGAGGAGAGCAAGGCGAAGCCGCAGCCCGGTGCCGCCCCCGCACCCGCGCCCCGCAGCCTCCTCCCATTGTCTGATCTTGGGGACCAGGGAGCCCTCGCTGTGCCTGCTCCCCCAAACCCCAGTACACGCAGGCAGCTGGCCCCCAACGTCTGGCCGTAAAAATCTCCAACCTGCAGCCCGAGCCTAGAGCAGCCCTCCGGGAGAAGCGAAGCTGAACTCCGTGCGCCTCTCGGAGCCTCGCTCCTCTCCTCCTTGGAGCCTCCTGATAAATTGACTCCAGGAGCCTGAGCTTCTTAGCAATAAATAAGCTCCAAATATAGAAGAGGGGGGAAAATATGATGAGCCTCTCTGACATTTGTCTTTAAAATAAAACGAGCTGCACGTCAAGTTTGAGCTTAATTTCTGGAAATAGGCGGAAGTCGCTCCGGATCATGCACGGAAGGCTAATTGAAAAGATCAGTCGGGCGCTGGTGGCAGCCCTGTCACTTTCTGACAGTGCTCCGCTCCGGGAAATTGCATCGTCACGACAAACGGGACCGTGATAAAACGACCCTTTCCGTCCCTATTTGTAGATCACTCAGACAAGATTGGACTGCGCCCCTTTCCCCTGCGAGGGGCGCCGCCGTTTCAGAGTAGCCCAAGGCTGCGGCCAAGGGGGGTCCCCTGTGGGGGGGCTGGGGCCTCAGCGCAATGAGAAGTGACAGGCGTTTGGGGCTCTGCGCTGCGGCCTGGACGCGGCGGGGACCGCGCTCCTCCAGCCAGCAGGCCTCGCTGCTGCTGAGCCCCAGGGCCCCACCGGTCCAGCGCTACCCAGGGCGCTGCATCTGGGTCCGGGGCCTCCCGGGACCGGGGCTGTGGGGGCTTTGCAGACTTCTGCGCCTGGGCACCAGCTCGCGACGCCCAGGCCGTGGCAGCCACCCGGGCCTCACCGCGTGGAGCGCGAGCCATCCCGGGCCAGCGCCTCGCCAGCGCTGAAGAGGCAGCGAGGCCGCGCTCTGACCCGCCCCAGGTTAAGCCTCAATCATCGAGTCCCTCCCTGGGGACACCAAGCACTCGCCCAGTGGCGATGATTATGCGCCTCGAATTCGACCGCGAAGCCTCTAATAGGAAAACATATGGTGCCAATTTGGAGGTTCCGCGCCGCGCACACCAGGAACCGCAGCACCAAGCCCGGGGCCGCGCACGCTCGGCTACGAGGCCCGGCTGCCACCCTTGCCTCCTTGCACAGGAGCTGCCACCTTGCCTCCTTGCAGAGCCCCACGCCCACCTGCCCAGGTGCTGGGCGGGCCGAGCGCGGCAGTCTGGGCTCCAGGCTGCAGAAGAGCGGGCCTCGCAGGGCCGAAGCCTCCAGAGCAGACCACAGGCCCGCTCCGGCCCGACGGCACCACACAGGCGCAGCGGGGCTGGGGCCCAGGGCCCGGATGGGGGCACGGTGTCGAGGAGACCCAGGACGCTCAGGGGCAGCGGCCATGCAGGGCCTTTTCTGGTCAGCACAGGCGGCCCCCACCCTACCCACCAGGCCTGGCCAGCGCCCAGCCCCAGGCCACAGCCCCACCGGCTGGTCAGGACGCCGCAGCAGCAGTGGTGGCGGCGCGGCGCCCAGGGGCCTCAGCTTCCAGCTTGCCCCGCCCCACTCCCAGGCCCCTCTCAGGGGTCAGAGCCCGGGCAGGGGGGAGGGGGTGAGTTACAGGATTGGGGGGATGGGGGGCTCCACGGAGCAGCCAGCTCTGCAGGCCCAGCCCCTGCCACCCCTCCCGGAAGGCTCCGGCCTCCCCCAGCCCCCGCAGTCCCGGCCGGGCACTTACTGTTCTGCATGCTGGCACTGGCTGGGGGCTGCAGGGTCCCTCGGGGCTGGCGTGCTGGGCGCTGTCAGCAGGATAACAGGAGTTAAACCCGGGGCTGCATCAGGCAGGCCCAGCCCCACCCGCAACCTGGGCCCAGAGGAATCCGCCTTATTTAGAAACAGAGCCACTGGAGGGCTTGGGCCAGCCGAGGGTCACCTCCCTCTGCCTCCAGTGCAGGCCGAAGCTCTCCTTGGGGCTTCAGATGACACACCCCAGCGTCCCCAATCGAGTCCCGCCAGTCCTCCCATCGGGAGAAACTCTGACCTGATTTTGAATTTTTTCTTGTATCTGAACCCTAATGCAGAAACATTGTGAAACAATTTGTTTGGACTCTTTCACTGCAGCCCAGGGCAGCATCGCAGAACTTGCCTGAAATCGGGGATGTCTGTCCGCTCTCCGAATAAGAGGCTTCGCACATCTGCGCACCCCTAAAGTCTTCCCCCTGAGACAGAACACAGAGAGGGAGGGCAGGTGAAAGGTGAGTGACAGCTCCAGCCCCATCCGGGCAAAGCAGGCTGCAGGACGCAGCCACTCTTCAGGACGCCGGTCCCAGCAGGGCACCCACACTCCCGGTGGCCCACGCCACAGGGCGCCCCACCCAGCGGAGAAGCGTGCTCTGGGCCCGGCTTGGAGAACTGGGAAATCTTAAGAGTGAGGGTTTCATGTTGCAAAAATATCAAGGTCCAGGCGAAGGGGAAACCGAAACCAGAGGAGGTGGGGAGGGAGCCCGACCGAGAGCAGGAGAGGAAGGGGGCCAGGCCCGAAGTTTGCAAGTTGAGGGGAGGGAACCGCGGAGAACTTCACAGCCCGCCCTGAGGGTGCAGGCTGGCGAGCGGCTGCAGGGCTGTACGCTTCCTTCCCGGGGGTGTCCACCGCCCCAGTGCTCCCAAGCCTCTGGTTACGCCTTCACTGGGCTGCCCGCGGCTTCCGGACAGCCCCAGCCCTGGGGGGCTCCGTGAAGAGACGTGCGGCCCAGCTTCCCCCCAGCGCCTCGCTTCTCACAATCTGGGTGTTTAGATCGCGCCCCCTGAGCTGCACAGTGACACATGCTGTCCACCTCGCTGGCCGCTTAAAAAGTGAGAGCAGGAGGGGGTGAGCGTGGTCGGCAGAGCCTCCGGAGGCGAACAATGGCTGCTGTCCTCGCGCTCCTCGGCCCAGCGAAGCCCGGGCCCCCGCAGGTCCCAGCCAACAGCGCCCCGCTCGCGGGGAGCAGGGGACCTCCTCCCTGAGCCGGGCAGGAGCCGTCCGGCCTCAGCCTCCACCAGCCCTCCCTCCTCCCCTACAGACTCCTTCGGTGCGGGGAGAGGAGAAACAGCAACGTCATTTCTCCTTACAAATATCAGGGGTAATTGTGTTACTGGTGCGAGTTGTTGGGGCAGTAAAAAGATACAAGGGCGCTGTGGGGCGCTCAATTGGGAAGGGAGAGTGACAATAAAGAGCCCATTCAAGAGGTTCGCCCCCCAAAAGAGGCGAAATAACAATATAGTCACAGCTTCATTTCTGTCCGCTTTTTAAAAATTATCCTTTTTCTTCTTTCCCTGCGATGATTCTAATGCTGCCTGCCTGGCAGCAGAGAGTTCCAAGGAGCACATTTTTCTCTGGGAAGCCGTTTGTAGTCTGATTTTTAACTAACTGGGAAGCAGCCTAAAACTAGAAAAATAAACCTCACCAAGGACTCTTTCCCGGCATCCGATCGTGACCGGGTAAATGCTGCGCCGGAGCGGCCCTCGCCCGCCACCGGCTGTCCAACGCCCTCCCTCCTCTCCAGGCCAAACTGAGCTGCCCGAGTGGGAGGAAACCCAACTCCCACCCACAGGTCCCTCCCCCAGCGTGGGGCTCCAGCTCCAGGCCTTGTGGGCTTCCCTCAGAGGGGTGAAACTTCCTGAACTCCTGTCCCTGGGCCACGCCGCACACAGCACAAACGAATGCCCCCTTCCCAGCTGGTACTTTCTTGATGCCATTTTAGAAAATTCTCCAGCGGATCCCCGCAAGGCCTCGTTGATCCGTTTCCCAAGCCGCTGGGAAGACGCTAACATTTCCAGCACCGGCTCCGCTCCCTCCTCACCGGCTCTCGGCTAAGAAGCCATCTAATTACTTAAGTAATCAGTAACACTTTAAGCAAAAGCAACCTGGGAAGCGGGGCGCAGGACACCCGGAAGCAGTTGAGTCTCCCAGAGGCCTGATCCGGGCTGCAGCCCGAGCCCCTAGCCCAGCCTGGGGGTTCCTGCAGCTTCGTGGGGCCACGGAGCGGCAGCCCAAGTTGAAGGAGGTTCCAGAAATCTCCCAAGCCACCCCGGCCGTGGTCCCTAAGGCCGCTGCCCCCCTCCCCGTCCCCGCAAAGGCCCCAATGCCGCTTTGCTTTTATTAATTTTCAAAACCCAGCCCCAAGGGGTGAAGAGGAGAATACTCCTTCCCTCCTCCTGCCCCTGGGCCAGAGAGTAATTAGCAATTAGGATGACAAAGTTTTACTCTCCAGGGCCAAGTAAGATAACAACTAATCAAATTGCCTTCAGACGTCTGCAGAGGTCACAGGCTGTAAAAAATGTATCGGTAACGGCAACAACTACTATTCCCCTCGGTGCGCTGCAAGACTTGGAGGCGCTTTGCTTTCACTCCTGCTCCTGCCCCTCTCCAAACCTTCCCAAGCTCCAGTTAAACACCCAGAATGGCTTAGAGAGCTTTGGGGCGGGTGAGGAAGGGGGAAAGAAAGAAACCACATTTACTTTGTTTTTAAACTTTCTAGAAATCACTCAAGACTGAAGGGCCAGGTTTTAGCACTCGAAAAAGAAAAGCATTTCCACTTGAAATTCAACTCCATTTCCCCCAATTACACTTGCTAAAATTCAGGGCTATTATGGCGCAGGGAGACCGAGAAAATCTGCTCAGGGAAAGAGGCAACAACTTCGTGAACTTTGAAAAGACACTTTTCCTCCGGGGTCTTAGAATCCAAAAGCTCTCGAATTACTCCAACTAATTAGCTGGAGAGGAGGTGATCGGAGGAGGAGGGGAAGCCAAGGCTTCATATAGATTTTCTTTAAAGGCCACACAAAGAAAATTCGGCATTCAGACTACAAAAAAAAAAAAAAAAAAAAAAAAAAAAAA